AGGAATGTTAACATAGCATGAAAAAAAATTTCCCCAAAAAATATTCTCCACCGTTCACACTGTCACAATGAACAAGGAAAAAAAACATGATTGTGATGAAACTTAGGCTGAAATTGATAAAGTCATTGAAAAGGTTGTCAGTTTTATGGAAAGAATGCCAGCATTCAGCTATAATTGCAATAACGCACGCAGTTAAAAAAATAAGTGTCTATCGTTCAAAAAATTTCAAGAATAAAATCAAAACGAAATGCGGAAAAAATTGAGAATGACATTAGAAGAGAAAGAATTATCTTTCAACAGTGATTAAGATATTCTCGTTACATTATTTGTTTTTTCATACGTGCCATACTTAATTTAATGACTTTTCATTAGCATTATATAATTTATTTCTTTTTCCCTTAAAATCAATTCCGTTATATTTCACTCACCATTACCTTATTTTGTTTACTATAAAACATTGAAAATAAATGTTAAACCTGATTTCAGTTCTTTTATTTTAATCTAGATATAACCACTCATATCGGGACTTTGTAACCAATTCCTCATATCCGGAAGGCCTTCTTATTCCGGTTGTTAGGGATTCAGCTGTATTGTTTTTTTTTTGTTTTTTTGTTTTTTTTTTAATAAACTTTATACTGCATCATTCTTTAGAAAAAAGGGTTCTGATTATCTTTTTATTTTAAGACACTTCAGAAAAAATGCTCTGGGAGTTTCAACCCGGTATTTTTTTTCCAACATTAGCTACAAAGTATTCTTCAGAACGTGGACGAAAGATAAGATAAATTGAATATAGTTGCACAAATATCCACAATCTAAAATAAAAAAAAAGTATTGGTTGAATCCGGTGACTTGACAGAAAGTTGTGAGTACAATATCTGGCTACAGCAAACCTGAACAAAATCTCGGAGAGTGTTGAAACGTGACTAATGCATGGAATAATAATGCGACACAAAATGTACTTAGAACAAAATGTATTGAAACAAGAAAGTGTACACAATATTTACATACAGTCTTTTGTATATTCCTGGTAAGACCGTTCCTGAGTCGCAGTCGGGCAGAGTCTCTGGTTGAATGTCTTGATTCCTCCCTCTCTTCCCGGTACGAACCATATTTATATGGTGGGTACTCCACTATGCAAATTAGGTGGATCCTACCACAACAGAGAGTTTATTTAAAGGATGATAACTTATACTAAGACATTCGGAAGAGACATGGAACTTGGAACTAGATAAATCTACCCCGGTGGACGAAATAAAGGAATCAGTATCTGTCTATATCTCTGATATGAAGTATTATGATTTACATCACAGTCTCACTTGTCAAATAGATACTCACACAGGTACACAAATATGGTGACGCTATGAGAGTTAGTTGATATTTCTGAAGAAAAAGCGGGCATAACAAATAAATGGATGTCAACAACAAAAAAAAGGAACAGTTCACACTTTTTTTCTTCTTTTATGCGACTTGTTTTTTGCAGAGCGTATTTTGTTTCGAAAATAAAACTTTAACTCTTTATTGTCCGTCCTTGCCCACGTTCTGATAATCTGCCATAAAACTAAGTGTTGCATAAGATACGCCAGTTGATTTGAATTCATATTAGACCGTTCCATAGGGTTCCATATTTAGAGCATCAGAAACATATATGTGGGAGGTTGCTTCCTTTCAGTATATCTTATAAATTATCAACTCTGTAAAATTGTTATATATCATTTTTTAAACAATCTCACTGAGTTACAAAATTAAATCTGTCGTGAAATCCTTTGTCGTCAATCAGAGTAAATCACCAGAAATCCCACACAAGCGATTTGATTAGGGATGGCTTGTCGAATCCAATACATTCACTTACGTACTAATACCTTGGCAAAAGTATGGATCCTCTTCTCCGCACAGCTATGGGTAAATAGCAGGACAGACTAGGTTCTATAGCCTTGGATGGCAACTGGTCTAGAAGTACAAATCTGAGTTCAAAACCTGCAGAATGTCGTTGGGTGACATTGTGGCACACCGTGCACTAGGTCTCAATATTCGGCTCTTCAAAATGTGTGGTTGGTTCTGCAGAAAGATTTCAAATCTATAATCAAATGATTTGGGCGGGTAGTCTGCTTGTCAGTTTTTAGGAATTGAGATGCTTGACAATCATATGTCGAAAACGACGAGAAAGTTCATTAATATATATATAATTAGTACACCTGATGTTCTTGCTTACTAAGTAAAACAGTTGTCAGTATCTATAAAGAAAACTGTATGTATCATGTAACTATGAATGGAGTGGAATATTACCAGCAGTGCAGGAATATTCTGTAAGGTCTTTCGTAAATATTGGTATTATTATTAATGTATAGATAATATAAATGAAAAATGTTATTTTAGCATTCAAAATCCATGATATTTTTTAACATTTTTTGATGTGAGTGTAGTATTCAGAGATAAAATGAGGGAAAATTTTTGGTTTTGCAGATAGAAGAAGAAGAAGAAGAAGAAGAAGAAGAAATGACATGCAAAGGAGAAATCAGTGTTACAAAACTGACAGAAAAATGGAAAGCAACAGACAAAAAGGTTAGATTGGATTAGAAATGATCTGATTGGATTTAACGAAGAACCCAGAGATTTGAAAAGGTTTCTTTCCGCTGAAGACGCTCTCATATCTACAGCATGACGCATGCGTGCATAAACAGACTTCCTGCAGTAGGCTCGCCTGTATACGCATTCAAAATTCACAACTGCTGAAGTACAATGCATCTATACAAATACACACTTTCACAAACAAACGAACCATTAGAAACCAACACATTGTCGCATCTAAGAATTTAAATCTATCAGGGCTCCGCAGTACATTTTCGAGTTAAGAATGTATACTGTACAGATTACACCTTTTGTCTGAGTTCGATTCCAGACAAAATAAGTTTCAGTATTTTGAATAAAATGCATTCTTCTTTCAGGCGTTGGTCTTATTTTTGTTGATTGCCCTGTTTTTAATTAATTTAGTAGGCAACTAGATGATTAAATAAGGTTAAGTGTCACAGGTCCACGGGGTCAGTTATCTCGTGAGATTCAAGCTAATTGTAGCAATTGCGAAAAAATATTTGCCAAAATGTTATGCCAAAATGTTATTTTCATTGAAACAATCACGCTCTTACGGAACAACATATAATTCTCTATTTAAAATCAAACTAAAATGAATAGGTCCTTCAACTATCAAATTATATTAATGATAACCCTTCAATCTTTAAAACTCTCTCGTGTTGTCCTAAGCTTTTGAAACAAAAATACGAATGTTGTTTTTTCTTCTTGCTAATAACGATACATTCTGTCTCCTTATGTTTAATAGTTAGTCCTTTCTTCTCGCTTTTCTTTACTACCTTCTGTAGAAGTTCCTGTATATTCCAAGATGACCAACATCTTTAAATCAGGCGATACCAATCTTTTATTGAGCATGTCTCTTCAGAAAATGGGCCTTAGTGGCATTCCGTAGCTTCCTATTCTTAGAAGAATATTTTTCCTCTTACTATCCCTCTTTTTGTATGTTCTGACATCGATTTAGACAAGCTTGTTAGGCAAGTTCGACATTCCAACCACCTGAAGAAGGCCGGTGCGTAAGAAGGCCGAAACGTTGTAATAAATATGACGTCAAAGATGAGGACAATAGTCCGAATAATGTAAATAATGTACATAATACCTCATCTCAGAAATATAGACAGATACTTGCTAGGCAAGTTATTCGCTGTTTCCCGCAGACCTTCTTGCCTTCAATATTTCAGCTGAATTTCAAATTCTGTAACCCCGCTTTCATTGGATGTCCCTAACCCAATTCTATTTTTCAGAGCCTAAGCAAAATTAAAACCTCTTCATTGCTTGCATGTATTCGCAGCATGCTTCTGTAGAACCGCATAGAACGCTTATTTTACTGATGCGCTATTGACAGTCAATACAACAATCAAGAGATACATATTAAAAGGAGTTGAATTTCATGAAATCAACGCATGTTGAAAGAAAAGATCGAATTTGCCTAAAGCTAGTGAAACCAAGATGGTAACCATCAAATGAGAATATTTCTATCAATGTTGAAAACAAAAAAAAGTTGAAATTAGGAAAACTCTAGATTTCAAGAGAAATCATCAAGAGAGAAATATATTTATCGGTAATTAATCTGTATTCAATGCTTTCGATTCAGTATATCACAGCATTCGGTGTTCAGGAACAAATCCTAGACGATATGCATTGGAAAGTGGGAATTTAGCCTTTAACAATACGAATCAGATCGATGTTTGATAGCCAATGATGTAAAATAATTTTTCTGACAATTACGTAAATCGTTTTAAAAAGTGAAACTATCAGTGTTTACAATTAGTCTATCTAATGTTGATTCAAATTCTTTTTCTTTCGGATAATTTACAAATATACCGTAATTCCCCGTGTATAAAACGCCTTCATCCATAATACGACCACCTAAAATTGTGCTGAAAGTGTGGGGAAAACGCTTCTACTCACGCATTATACGCACCCCTTGTTTGGTAATCAAACCCTATAAAGTTCACCTCTCCAGTTACATTGAAAATGGTTTTAAACATAGAATAATATTATTCTAATTTAGATTTATGATAGTTTTTATTTTATTTTACGGCAATTTTTAAAGATTTTTTCTACCTGTGCATAATACACACCCCTTATTTTGCTTATTATTATTTTAGAAAAAATGCGTATTATACAAGGGGAACTACGGTAATCGCTTTCTGTTCGGAAAAATAATCTAGTTAAAGCAAATATTATTAATAATATATTGTCTCGAAAAGAAATCGTGGCGTTTTATCTTTTTTATTTAATAAAGATATAGTGTAAACAAAAGGAAGTAATTCATATCCAATTCTTGTTAACAAATTTTCAAATTGATTTTACTTCCTTAGAATAACAGAGATCACTATGGAAACATCGTTTTACAGAGTCTTTTTGAAAAAGGAATTCCGCGAGAAACCATTCATATTATTTATTATCAATTCACATCTGGTAGAACTGAAGGGAGAAAATAGATTAACAACGATATACATGGTGACAGAAAATACGTTGACAGGATCGGTGAGACTAGCACTACTTGATGACTGTCTCCAGGTAAAACCCAGAAAATGCAAATGCTGTTTTTCAAATATACAGGTATTTTTACTGTATAGCTTTGTAGTCGTTAAATCGTCCTAGATCTTTGATACTTTCATATTATAAATATGTTTGCATAGACCGAATCGTATATATACAGGGTGAGTCAAAATTATGTCAACCCTTGTATCAGAGGATGAGTCAAAATTAAGTTAACACTACTATGAAAGGAAATTTATTCAGAGTTTACAGAACAATCTCCACCTGCTGACCAGCACGGTTGATGCACATAAACCAGCGACAGTACAATTTAGTGTCTTGGCTCACATTTCGCAGGAAATGTTTGATATTACAACTTTTATTCTTTCCTTGAATTCTTCGATGGATTTAACTTTTTTGCTATACAAACGATTTGGGAAACTTTGATCGAGACAAGCGCGAACAGTATGGACAAAATGAGGCGGTCTTCTATCCTGTTGGAAATACCCTGCTCGTCTGATTTGTAGAAGTATGCTATCAATGGCAATTTCTTGCAGCATTTGTAAGTAAGCATTTGCAAGCACCGTTAGAGTTGTAAAAGCATAGATGGGCCAATTACAACCTGCAACACCACCCAGGCTCGGTAACAGAGATAAGACATGTAACAATTTTATAGGACTACACAATACACACAGACAGATCAATCAAACTTAACCGCCCAGACATTGTTATTAGAGACCTAAAAAAAAATAAATAAATAAAAAAAACAAAAAACAATTGCCTCCTTATTGATATGACAGTCCCTGCAGTCTGCAATATATGTTTGAAGGAGCTAGAAATCGATATCTCAAAAATGTGGTACATGGGAACATCCATAATCCCTGTTGTAGTTGGATCCCTGTAGTAGTTGGATCCCTCGAATTGGTTGGAAAACATCCCAGTAGACTCATTGAAGGGATTCCTGGAAGCCCATGCCTTAAAGAAATACAAAAAAATGTTCTCACGAGTATAGCACACTAAGGGTTTTATCTATGTAAAATATATGTGTGTGTGTGTGTGTTTTAACTGGTCAGTGGGAAATGTCATGAAGCCATTTCTGACCTTAGATATCTGGGCGGGACCCGGAAAGAAATGAGTACACACCAGAAATCAAATGAAAAATAATAATAATAATAATTATTATTATTATTATTATTATTATTCGATATAAATTTTGTGTGATCTTAGTCTTTTTTTTTACATAAATGATCAATGAAAAATGTCACGAAGCCATTTCTGATCATAGGTCACTGGTTGGGACCCGGAAGGAAATGTGCATGCAACTGAAATCAAAGGAAATAGTAATTTAATAATAAGCATCCTATTCAGTAAAATACATTTGCTTGTCAGTTGCCTGACCACAATCGCTGGGAAATATACCCTAGTGGCTGTGACACTGTATATCTCAGTATATTACCTAGAGTACTGCGAAAGCATTATTGCCGTGTGTCGGAAAGGACGTAATGCTTAAAGTTTCTTAATTTGGAAGTTTTAAGTAGTAAGGCAATTTTGGCGTCATATCTAAATATTTGCAAATAATCTAAGCGGGCAGTTTCACCCAACGTGAAAGTATTTCTAACTAGTCACTACATGCAACTTTATGCGCTGTTTTTCTCAAAACCTATCACTATATCATTTACATTTGCCTTCGATTTTATTGCTGGTAATATTTTTTTCTTCAAAAATCTATTTCTGGGAATATTTTTTTCAAGAAATGTATAGCTGGTAAAATTTTTAAAAAAATATAAATATATTTTTCTGTATTGCTGTATTGTATTATTTCCCTTTAGAAATTTATTGTTGGTAATTATATTCTTTGCTAAGTATTTCTGGAATTAAAACCTATTTTTATACTTTCATGGTATTTTGGCCGCAGTTTGGGGGTTAACTATTTGCCCATATCTGAGACTCTAACAGGTGCTACCCCACCAAGGCCAGGGTAGACCTGGGAACACCAGCAATTAAGAGGTGTTTCCACGCTCATCAAAATCTCCTGATCGGAGTACTTGCTGTTGGACGTAGTTTATCGTCATACCAAGGATGGACGATATTATCAATTTTATTATTAACTCCACATATTTTAATTTGTATTTGCAATAAAATTTATTTTAATAATACTGGCTTACAAATAAATTTATCTAAGCATAAAAATATGTTTTCTAACCTAATTTTAGGGCGGTGATTTCGAATATGAAATCCGTTTTTACTCACCACCTCTAGTTTTTTATACGTAATATATATACATGTGCATGTATGAAAAGCTGTCAGATGTGTGCTATTTGGGACATTGTATTGTTTTTTTATTTTTATTTTCAGTTTTATGAATTGTATTACTTTTAAAAAAATGACGTTCGGCCCTGCGTGCTAACTTTAATTGCGATGAAATGGAATAGT